GGGGGGGAGGCGGGGGGGGGGCCCGTCCCCTCTGCTTCCTCTGGTTTTTGCCTGGTTGCCTTTGTTTTTTCATGGTTTGAAGTTTTCTCCGTCGTCGTTTGTCCCTCGTTCTCCGTGGTGTCGTGTTCTTCCCTCTGTTACGGTGGAACACGGAACGTCCCAAGGTGAGTCCAGATTAGAGTCAGGGGTACGTGCACGCTGCACATTTATACACACACACACACACACACACATACACTCCAGTACGGTGGAGTGCGCACCACCAACAGGACTGGGCAGAGATTCATCTTCTTTGTTGTTGTTGTTGTTGTTGTTGTTGTTGTTTTTCTCAGTGACGTTTGTTTAGTTATTTTTTGTTGCTACATTTTTGATTAAATTTCTGAATTTCAACCCTGATTGGACGGAGGAGCAGTAGATATTTCATCAGCTGTGAAGAACTTCACGTCTGTTCACTGAACAGTGATGTTTCCTGTCCTAACCACTGGAGGCGCTCCAGTTTTCTAACACTACATTTTTAGACACCGCAGAATTCCACGATGGTGACAAAATTATTTTACTCTTTTATTTCTATATAACCTTTAAAGTTTACTGTCAATTTATCAAAATATACAGGTTATAAAAATGTGAAGTCAGGTCCAGCGTCTCACACACACACGTCAAAATATACAGTCAGGTCCAGCGTCTCACACACACACACACACACACACACACACACACACACACACCTTCCACCACTTCACACTAAACCCTGTGAACTACAGTGGAAAGTAAAATAAAAGTACTTATCAATATAACAATACTAATATCTTTTGACATGATTTGAAGTTTAATGCAGCAAACTTTTAATTGAGTCGTTTTATTTTCTTGAAAACAAAAACCCCACTGATATCACAGCGTTTCCTGTTTCCTGTTTCCCCCCAGAGTTCAGCTCACAGCTTGACATTTTGGGGTCGAGACGCTCGACATGTTTTCATCCTTAACTTGTTAAATGTATGGCATTGTCAAGGGTCATGTGATGCATGGGGGCGGCGGCCTCGTTAAGCTGCAGTGAGGTGGGGGCTGGAACGCCGTAGTCTTACACAGCGCTGTGTTCAGTGGATCCACACGTTGCAGCATGAACAGTGGGAGTCACGTCGGCCTCAGCATCAGTGTGAAGACAGCAGCTTCAGTCGTGTCTCCTCACTGTGCTGCTGCAGTTGTGGACACTGACTGATGGAATGCCAGCGTGTCATCTCAGGTCATTAATGAGAAATGCTGAAAATGTTTGATGAACAGAACGAGAAGAAAAAAAAAAGACCCAAAATGTTTTGGTTTTTTTTTCTCCCATCTTTATTTAAAATAGATAACGGTTTGTGCCAGTGTCGTGTCGGCGTTCAATAAGTGGAGACGAGCTACAAGAGTGAACATAGTCATAACGAAGGTGAAGTGCTGAGATACAGTTGACTTTTCATGCTGTTGTGTTGCTGCGTTGCTTGGACGATACATCACCAGAAAAAAATAAAACAAGAATTCTCACAGATCAAAAGAAAGAAAAGGTTGGACCAGTGAAACAAACATGCGGAGCAGAGACGGACGTCAGTCTCCAGGGACAGCAGGGACATGAGTGTCCAGGGACAGCAGGGACAGCAGGGACGTCAGTCTCCAGGGACAGCAGGGACATGAGTGTCCAGGGACAGCAGGGACGTCAGTGTCCAAGGACAGTAGGGACGTCAGGGACGTCAGGGACGTCAGGGCTCCTCAGCTCTTACTGTTTCAGAACCAGCTGCAGGGAGGAACTCTCCAGAAGAGACTGCTAGTTAGTTAAAGTTAACTGTGGTGGTTCTGAGAGGGGCAGTACTGGACAGTGCTGGGGCAGTACTGGACAGTGCTGGGGCAGTACTGGACAGTGCTGGGGCAGGGGTAACATAAGCCTGTATTGGGGTACTTGAGTAGAGTACTGGGTAGCTCAGTGAACGGAGGGGTGACATGTGCCCTCCCCTCCCCATTCAGTGATTATCACGTCCCACATGCTACAACACGTCATTAAATGAAATATTCATCTCTTATTTGGTACTACAGTACTTTTTTACATTCAAAGTAAAATAAATAAACATCTGTTCTGGTTCCACTACATTCAAATTGACCATTTTAGCCAACGTATATGTATATATGTATATGTATATATATATATATATATATACATATATACATATATTTATATATTTCCCATCATGCTTGTCAGTGTTTATATAATGTGCAAAACAACCAGTCTACCTAGCAACACGTCTGTGTCCAAGTAAACACATCACTTTGGAGTTCTAATATTTCAATAATATTTTGTAAATATATTGTAGTATTTAAATATTGTTTAGACTATCTGAGATATATAGAATATATATACACACATATATATGCACATATACGTATATATGTGCATATACATATATATTGTATATCTTTAATCACATATTTAGTTTTTTTATTTGAACTGAATACTTGTCAAACTTGTCAAATGCATGCTGTCAAATAACTCTTTAGTAACAAGTAACTGGTTTAACTGATGATAGTACTGGTTACTGAGCTGCACTGGTATGACATGCTCGAAACATCGGTGACTAGGTGACTAACCTACAGGGTTATTGTAACCAACCCTGTCAACCAGCAATATTCATTTAAAGGTGGATCTGTTTTTACTCTGCTGTTCTCACTGGCACTCCTAGTGTGCAATAATGGTACTGACTGGTACTGACTGTTGTCTGTGGGTGGGCCTCTGTTGGTTGTGATGTTAGTTTTGATTTGACTGGTTTTGGATGTTTTATATATATATATATATATGTGATGTCAATAACGAGGGCAACATATACAAAATATAAAGACAAATTCAACCCTTTGGAAAAGGAGAATCATTTCAGTTTCTGCCACAGCATTCTTGGTCCTCAGGTGTGATCACATGACATTATCTACAAGAATGGAAGGAATGACACGTGCAGCTGCAAAACAAGTAACAACGGAGCAGCCAATCAAAAAAGACAAAGTGAAGAATGTTTCAGAAATTACAAAATAAAATTAATTTGATAAAAAAGGAAACTTTTCAAGATAAATATGTTCGTTAACAAGAGAAATACAAAGTCAACTTTGTGTTACAAATTAATAAATGATAATTGGTTCAGTCTAGTTAGTTTAGTTAGTTATCAGCTGGTCAGGAAATCCTTTAACATTACAACCAATCAAATGGCCTGTGTTGGTTCCACGCCCCTTCTGGTGACATTGGCAGTGATTTTGGACACAGCTGGTGTGGTTAACCTGGTAAAGTTATGACTGGTTACAGTGACGGGTTAGTGTCACAGTGAGGAGAAAAAAAAAGAAGAAACACAGCTGGACCAGTGTGTGGTCAGACCGATGACTGATTGTGGCAGTGTTTACTTCAGGTCGTCAGGAAGAAGCTGTGTGGCTGAAACAGAGCATGAAACAAATGGCATTATAACAAGCTAACTAGCTAACTAGCTAGGGTTAGCTTTGATATAGCACAGTCTGGTACAGTGGAACCTCCAGACACTTCGGTCTCATCTGTTCGTCTCCATCAAATTTTACCCATTAAAAATAATTAAAAACCAATTCATTAGTTCCACCCCCCCCCCAGAAATAAACTATTAATTAATTAAATTAACACCTATCTAAAGATCAAACACAGAGATATAAACAAATATAATGATAAAATAATAATTAAGAAAACATTTTATATTATTTTTATAGAAATGGGTAAAATAACCAGAGAGGGAGACAGCGCCACACAGTGTCCATTGGAAAAATGGAGCTGTGTTGATCCCTGGTAACTGGATGTTTCCTGGTATCAGGGGAAAATCCTGCAGTAGTTGCAGACTAGTAACTTGGAAAACTGGTATTTTGGGGAGACGGTATCTGGAAGACCCACTGTACACACAAAGTATTGACAACAAAGTATTGACAACAAAGTATTTACCGTTGGGTTCGTTGGGGGGTGGGGGGGGGGCTTCGTTGGTTCCTGTTATGGTTGCCTAGAGTTTCCCCAAACCCCAACAGCAGGTTAGCATTAGTAAAACTGTGGATGAACTGAAGTCTGTTCTGTTTAGGGTGTTCTTCACCATTCCCATCATGCACCTGGTTTTTCTAAAGCTTGGAACTTTGCTATTACAAAACTGCAAAATGTCCTCTGCAGTAATTTCTCCACAAACCTGGACTGATATTGTTTCAATATTTTTTAGAAGACTCATATTTAGATGTGAACCAGAGATTTGGACTAGTGTCACCATGACAACCAGCCACGCCTTACTTGGCCTCCTCCTCAGTCACGCCGTCGGCCTCCAGTTTCCCCTCTTCCTCCATCTTCTCCTCTGAAATCAGTTCCTGCTTCCGGTGTCGACGCAGACACTTCACCACCACCATAGAGAGGATCAGCAGAGCCAGGGCTCCGCCCACCGAGGCGCCGATGGCCACCGCAATGGTTGAGTCTCTCGGAGGGGGAACTGAGGAGAGGGCAGCAGAGGGTTAAACGTTTGGTAGACAGTGGAGAAAACAAGTGCAGTGCTGCCTTAAAAGCTGTGCTGAGCTGATTGAACAGAGTGGACGTGAAGGAAGTGCTGCTGAGTCAGCCGCCGCTCCAGACTAATGTGAGGGCGCCACAAGGTCAACGGAAGAATCCATGAGGTCAGGGTCCAACCGGGAACCCCAACCAGACATACCATAATAATCTCCCTTAACAATAAACATCTGTGTGTCTGGTTCATCAACAGATATACTGTAATCAGCTATCTGTGCTGAAGTTGGCTTCATGTTGGTGCGGTTGATGCCGTGCGTCAGAATACTTTACTGAGAGTGATGATGTCATACAGCGTCATGGTTATAGGACGGTTGTTCAACAGCTGCGTCAGGCTATTTCTAAACTAACTAACTTTCTAAATCTAAGGTGGTGTTGGTGAAAGTTCCACTTGTTAGAATCTCACGTTCAGTGACGACGTTGAGCTGGATGATTCCGTGACCCTGGATGCGGTCGGGGGGGTTCTTCACGTAGCAGTTGTAAATTCCCACATCCTCCAACTGAACATCCGACAGGGTGATTGACAGGTCATTCTTATCTAAGTTCCCGGCAAACATCACCCTGTCCCCGAAGCGGTCTGAGCGGACAGGTACCATTTTCTTTTTCACATGGTAGGTCATGAACTACAGAGGGAAAAAAAAGACAAAGAAACATTTCAGGCTTTGTGTCATTAAGGCAACAGTTCTTCACAACTTTTGGTCAACTCTTTCTTTGTTACCCTCTCCTCCGTGTGATTGGAGGACTCCTGGTAGGTCCAGTTCATGGAGAACTGAGCTGCGTCCATCTTGTAGCAGGAAGTGAAAGTGCAGGAGATTTTGATTGTCGATCCGTTCAGTGCATTGATGTTATTTGTTACCAGCACGTCCATGCAGGAACAGCCTGGAAGAAAGAACAGCAACGCTACGGTTAGCCGCAGCTCTGCGGTTAGCCGCAACGCTGGGGTTAGCCGCAACACTGCGGTTAGCCAAGGTCGGACTGTCCACACGGACGCCAACCACCTCTTTCTGCGGTGCCTAATTTTCCGGACTACGTAGGGAATTCCTTCTTATCCGTGTTAGCCTTCAGAGCTCTGTTATAGCACAGCGGGCTGAGGAGAAGGGCTGAGGGACAGCGCCTCCTCAGGACCATCAGGCCAGTGCGGTCTGTGGGACTCTTCCATACAGGGGCAGTACTGTTGCCCACCTGTTTTATATCAGGGCTTCAGGGTTAATAAACAATCATCCTTTTTATTTTCACTAAATGACTTTTCAAGACAGAAACTAGTCTCAAATATTGAGCTTTAACACCACAGTTCACAGTCTGTCCAGGTGGACACCAGTGGGGGGGGGGGGGGGGCACTGCACCATTCTCTTCTCTGTATTCAGGTGTTTCTAGTTCTCCTCCCACTGCTGCTGCTGTTACTGCTGTTACTGCTGCTGCTGTTTCTTCTGCTGCCGTTTACGGCTCTGGTGCCGGTGCCAAAGGCTTCTCTCCCCCTGCAGCAAACACACACACACACACACAGATGCAGTGTGCAGACCCACTCTGGCACAGTCTCCAGGTCCTGATGACTCAGCAGTCCTCTGAGTGAGAGAGGAGGAAGAGGAGGAAGAGGAGAGGAGCTGAGCTGCTAACAGATGAAATACTGCAGTGAAGCAGATTTGTGTGACTCCTCTTTCCTTCTGCACCTCCTTCTTTTACTCCTCCACATATTTCCACTTCCTGTCATCTGTTTTATGGTAACTCTTCTGTTGGAGCTCCTCCACTTCCTCTCCCTCCCCGTCCTCCTCCTCGTCCTCCTCCTCCTCCTCCTCGTCCTCCTCCTCCTCTACCTCTGCTGCCTTTACAGTCTCCACTGCTGTCTCTCTCTCTCTCTCTCTGCCCTCCCCCTTTCTTTCTCCTGGGTGCAACCTGCTCTGTTCTCCCACAAGGTCAGTGCAGTGTGTGGGGGGGGTG